CGTAATTTGAGAATGAATTGGGCGATTCCATATTTCACAAAGACGTTGACGATGACGCAATGAATACAATTTCAGTCTTCATCAAAATCAAAATCACTTGACTGCAAACAACGTGCGAGTTGAGTATGACCCGCCAGGAGAAAACAAAAGCACTACATTTTGCATAGCTATAAATCTTTACATACTAATCAAGTACATGTGTAATGCACAGTATATTCACTGGAATTGTTAATATGTGTCAGCAAGATAGTGATCCAAGTATTCACCACATGGACTATATGAGTTTGGACAGACATAGATGTAAAGTGCAACCTGCAGATTATTTTCTGGATTAATTAATTACATGTTTGGATAATAAAATGTCAGAAAATGTCTGAAAATGCACGTTCCCATAGTCGAAGATGACGTCTTCAGAAAGCTTGTTTTGTCTGAACATTTCAAAAGCCAAAGATTTTCAGTGTACTACCACCACATTGAAATAAAGAAAGCAGAAAGCAGCAAGACCTGAGAATATTTGGTATTTTGATTTGATTTGATCGCTGATTATCAATTATCTAATGCATTCATTAATTTATCGTTGTGGCTCTACTTTAATGGAATAACAATACATATATAGATTTAGATAAGCCAGCAGTAGAGCAAAATGCTTCCAATAGGTTTTATTATTTTCAGTGGTCGCTCTATAACCTGTTTAGGCTGCTGCTATCATTAAAATCTTTATTGTTCAGTGCATTTACAGCGCTCCTCTGTATCTCTCACTCAGCCATACGCACTGAGTAAATATACTCTGGGGCACAATCATAAGGACTGTGTATGTGTGTCTGTGTGATTGTGGGGTATTTTTAGCCTTCCTGTTCGTCTTGCCTGTCAGTGGAGCTGACATTGATCAGGGTGGAGATGACAGGCTCGCTATGCGTCGAAGCTTTCACATGTTTCGGCATCGCTGATTGTTACCGACCCGAAAAGTGAAGCCATGTTCCCGCTTTTCATCTCATTTAAAATTATGACTGTACAGGCTTTCTTTGATCTTTCGCGTGTGTTTCTGTGTATACTTGTTATTTTCAACAAATATGGAGAAAAATACCTCAACCTTGAATTTGTTGTTATTGCTGATTTTTAATTTCACTTGACAGCGAACTTTGTAAACACAGGAAATTCTGTTAATAAGGAGATATAAATGTGAGGTTACATTTTACATTACATTGTGGATGTTGGATGTAGAGGGGGGCTCTAAACAGAGTAGCTGACAATGAGTCAACAGTGCATGAGTGACAATAAGAGTGCGTAGGTGTTAAGACAGAGGCACAGCATCCCTCTGTACATTTATCACTGCTCAAGCTTTTCATAGGTTAAGTGAGTGCTGCTTTGAAAAGCTCGGAGACAGCAAAATAACTGAGCGTTCATCAAAAAAATATCATTTTCTTCAACTTAACTTGTAAAATTTTAAATTGCACGTTCACATTTTAAAGCCGAGCCTACTCAGCTGTGACCATGAGGAGATTCACCTGTTACTTTCTGCAACTCACTCACATCAGATACAGTGCTGCATGACTTATTTCATCCTGATGAACACAGTGTGATTCCCTTTAATGCTATAATAAAAAAGTACAATCTGGGTTTTTAAACATGGAAAAACCCGGATACTATTTCATCATGATATGGTTTGAGTCTTGAAACCAGGCCGGGATTTTAGACACTAAACATCTAAACCATTTAGGTTACCCTGAAAGTTCTAAATTATAAAATAATGAATGAATACTTTGAATATGTGTGCTTACTAGTCAAAGGAGATTTTCTTCATACATAACTGAATAACATTCTATTTTGTGCACGAGTGTGTCAAGCTTTTTACCAAGGCCAATGTTCATAAATGTTCTCTTTCTTTTTTCTCTATCTCTCCGCAGTGTGTTGTTTCGTGGTTCACAAACGTTGCCATGAGTTCGTCACTTTCTCCTGTCCAGGTGCTGATAAAGGGCCCGCATCAGATGTGAGTACAAATAAATTCATCATTTTAAAATTGTATGCCTGCGTACAGTACGAGAGCGAGAATGAGTAGTGAAAGACATATGGAGGACGAGCGAGACTGCGCATACCAGCTCATGAGACCCCGTCACCTGTCATCGCCAGTGATACGGTTGAGCTGCCTCCATCTTTTTCTCTCCTTCCTTTTCCCGTCTTGACAGTTCTACTGTACCGTCAGACACAGGAATTTCTCTAGATATTTGATAGACTCAATACTGTAGATAGCTAAATAACACCCGGAAGCTGCCCAATACAACCGATATTGACCACAGAGCCGCTCTGGCACGATGGGAAATTAAGTCCCATGTTGACTTCCAATGTTAGGGATGTACAGTATGTTGATAGGGAGCAGGAGGAGGTTAAAGGATATTTAGAAGCCTTTTGCGCTTTGATCCTCAGTGGATGTAATGAGTATATTTTTGAGTTTCAAGTTTATTTGCATTATCTAAGACAAAAATAAAAAATTAAAGAGACAAACAAATGATGTTTATCATCAATATTTGTATATTGTGTTACTGATGAACCCACAGAGAATTATAACCTGACTCTGCAGTTCCTCAGCTCTATGGAACATTACTGTTTTGGTTCCCATCAGGATCTTTTTCAGCAGCAGCAGGCAGCTAATAAGTTCCAATAAACTATCACTGTGAAAAAACCTGCCCCTAAGTAGCCATAAACAACAGGTATTCCAGGTAAAATCTCTACAAAAAAATATATCTCTTGTTTTAAGTGGTGGGCTCAGTCTCTCAAAAAACAAACATCTTTCTGAGACAGAATTTAATAGTTTTTTTTCCATGAAGAAATTAACTATCGACCCACCCGTAGATCCTAAAGTAGCAGGATCTTTCTTTAGCTGCTGTCTAAATTCACTCTTGTTAGTCTTGTTTACCCTCTACTTTAAAGCTGCTCTAGGTAACTTTTTCATAAATCAATTTTTGTCATATTTTGGTAAGAATCCACTACGTCTGAGTGAAAAGCACCAATCAGAGATTATAAAGATAGTTGTTTGTTCGTTGGGACGACCTGGGAATGAGACTCATCTTTCTCGACTCTGATTGGTTGTTCTCATTCAGCCCTAGGAGGGGCCTGACTTGAACTCTTATCTCACTTATCTCTTCTTAAATATCTTGAAAGTAAGAAAAAAAAATCATCATATACGTACTCTGTGGTGACATGTAGCAGCGCTTCGTATCAGCCAAATCACTGTACACAGCATTTGACTTCTAATGAAACAAATACATTGCACTATTTTACCCGCATGCACAGTGTTATTGGAGGTTAAAAGTTCTGTCTGTTCTTAGGTTATAAATTCTCTTTAAACATTGTCTTAACCTTCATCGCTGTGAAAGGAAGTGCCTTTAAGTGGTGCTTTTTATCATAATCTTATCCATTCTCTCAAGGAGCTGAGAAGTAGTGTCTTTTCTCTGATTCATATGATTAAAATGTAAACCTTTTCTTTAATCTATCCTATCAAGAGGACAAAATCAGTTGTCTTTTGTTAAGAGCACTCACAGGATACCAGCGTCAGTCCTCTCAAAAACCAAGAGGTCTTTGAGTTCCTCAGCCATGTCCTTACCTCCTTCTGGAGTGCCCTTTCAGACTGACAAGTACACTAAGTGAGCCGCCTCCAGAGGAAACGTGGTGTTGGCTGTTTGGCTTCCTGTGATGTGTTCTGTATAACTGATAAGTATTTCCTCTCATCTTATAATATGTCTAACAACAACCTTACTTCATTTTCGGTCCCCTTTCACCTGAATGCTACTTCCTCTTTTTCTTGGTGACATTTGAGTGGCGCATGGAGGGGCACAAATAGCTTCTTCTTCTTTGATAACTTCTGTTTTAGTCAGGGTCATGAATTCAATGGGCCGGGTACCCAAATACACGCCAAAGCCTCTCTGAAACCATTTTTCTATGTGTTTCTTATAATATCTAAGGTTCCTTAAAAATACAAACTTTAAGAATGTATTGAAATGTAAAGCACAACGTTAAGCAGTGACGTTGCATTTGTATTAGCTCATTGGTCACTGTTTGACAATGACTGGCTCATCCACAGCTTCGTGGCTAGTAACATCTAATCATATTCGTATAGGTGTACAGTGCGGCCATCTACAACCATACACTTCCTATCATTATCTTACCTCCTCCTTACATAATACTTTTCTTATCCTCATATAATATTGTTGATTTAAGATTTCATTTTATTTAGTTTATTACATTTACAATTGCTTACACACATTTATCAATACTGAGTTCACTTCCTGCTTTCATTACAATCCTTGCTGTCTTTTTCTTCACTGCTATTTTGCGGGCATCATTGCTTCGCTTATTTGTGCATTACGGCCACCAACTGTTGATCAGTGGACTAGCAGTAAACCAGCTGTTTCCCTGTTTCTCTGCAACATAGAGGACGAGTGCAAAGTTAGAAATACCCTTATTTATGCGAAATACAGGTTGGAAAATACACCAATTTCTCTTTGAATCATTCCTTTACATCTTTCACTTGACTTTTTGAACCAGCAGACAACCTGTTTCTTTATTAGTCACGTAAAATCTCTAAATATCTCCATCTATTCTCTCCTCTTCTGACACTATATTTCTATATTTGGCGTACACTGAACTCCCCTCTTCCTGAATCTTCCTCCCACCGTCTCTTTCTCCACCACTCCTCCCTCTTTATCTAACTCTGTTCTGTACATCCTCCATTTAAATGCCACTCCACCCAGGGGGCCCCCTGCTCTTAATTACGGGGCCTCACCACCTCCACCATGTCATTTCCTTAATGAGTTCATGGTCTTATGACCTCGGTTCCTGCACAGTGGGAGAGTAGGGTGTCTCTGCTCCAAAGTAGCTGCACATTTAAATATAGGAGACAGCAAGACAGGTAGCCTGCTCTGAGGTTATGGAAGGAGGAGGAGGAGGCTCACAATACACTGGTTTTTCCCCTGGTCATGTAATCCCTTGAATATAATGAAGTTTTTTTATATATACATAATTGGGACAGAAAGAAATGAGGGAATTGATGAAACATCACAGATATTTACATATTTTTCGCATTGTAAGATTACCAAACCAGAAAGAAAATAAACTATTTGATTGTATAAGTGTTCAGACTTTGTCATTGAACATTATGGAACAGCTGGGTGAAGATTTTCTAATAATGGCGTCAGATTTGCATTGCTTGACACAGTGTTTTCACCCACGCACACCTGCACAGAAACGGCTTTATGAACTCGAAACACTGAGAACCTTTTCAGTGGTTACATTTCAGCTTTATATTGCATTATATTTAGGCGTCACAGACAGCTTTATCTGTCAAATAGTTACAGCAGTTACAACAATGAATAGTTAGGGCGAGTCATACTGTTAAAGATTTAGCTTTGCTATGCTGCCGAAGGAAAATAAAGCTGTCTTTTTCTCCCCCTTTGCTGTGCTTTTCCTCAAGAATATGGAAATCCTGCTTGGTTTCCGTTTCCCTGTATTTATAAGAGAAGACAACCGTGAATATTCAAATGATCACGTAGGCAGATTCTTGGTTTGTAGATCATTTTCAGTACACTTAAGTGCCACCATGTAATCCAAATGCAGGAGTAATGCTATGCTCATATAATAGCCAAATATTTACAAACTCAAAAGATTACTGGAGCCAATAGTGTCAGTGTAGAGCTGAGATGATCAAGGAAAATAAATGCATTAATTTAAAAACAGGTGGCAAGAATTTTTATGAATCTTTTTAGACAAAAATACCAAATACTCTCTGGTTCCAGCTTCAAATGGGAAGATGTATTATATGTATTAATCTGAATATTGTGTCTCTTTTCTGATTGGAAGTTTTCTGCCCATTTATATTCCAATTGATTAACTGAGACAACAACAGGCAGATTAATCAATAATTCAAATAATAATCATTAATCATTAGTTGCCTATGTCAGGGCTATAGCAGGATTAATCTATGTCTCCTCAGGCATCGACCAATCCTGGGCATTTCTCTTTGAAGCCAATAAGGTTGAGGTAGTTCTTTGTGGGTCACATACATGGATCAACAGCAAAGCTGGAGATGCTTTTAAAGAACAGCAGATAGATGCAGGTAGAGAAAGACTCAACAGGCAGAACGCAGATGTAATCAGGCTTATTGTCTCACCGTCTGCAGCAATCAGCCCACCACTCCCATTTTACCTCATGCCAGTCCCTCTCTTCCTCTCTCTGTCAGCTATGTATGTTTAAAAGAAGAAGTCAATTATAGATCTGGGTTAATAGAATGGGTTCCCTGTGGGAGAGGTCGAAGGATGAGATCTTCTAATGAAACCTACATTTCATACCCACAGCCTGCTAATGGTATAGAACTCAGTGTGTGTGTGTCTGTGCTTGTGTGTGTGTGTGTGTGTGTGTGTGTGTTTGTGTATGAAAGGCGAGATACTAGGATATGTACACTGCTCCAAACTAGCTCAACAGTTTCATGTAGAGGACAGGAAGACAGTGTGGGCCTATGATTAATGATATATTTATTTTCCACTGGTCACAGGATTCCTGGAATATCATGACATTGTGAAATGTATTTTCCAGACAGAACTGTCAAGTCAAGTCAATTTTATTTATATAGTCCTAAATCACAAATCACAATTTTGCCTCAAGGGGCTTTTCTTTGTACAGCATATGACACTTTCTGTCCTTAGACCTTCGTTTCAGAAGAGGAACTCTTCTAACAGGGAGAAAATAGAAGAAACCTGAAGAAAAATAGAGAGTGTGTGTGTGTGTGTCTGTGTGTGTGTGTGTGTGTGTGTACAGAATAGATACCCTGCAATAATATATTTAAAGAATATTGATGCAAGAGGATGTCGAGCAATATCAAAGGAATTGATCAGTTCTCTGGGGAAGATTTAAAAAGAGAAATCACTTAGTTCTTAGAAATAATGAAGGAGAAACTTTAGAAGTGCTGCTTGGTGGATTGTGTTCCCCTTGGATCAAGTC